AAATTAACTAATTAAAAGAATTCAGTCTTTGTTATTTGGATTTTAGAGATAAAATTTCAATATATTTTTTTTCAATATTTTAATTTTATTATGGAAATATATTTAGGACTAAGATTAATTTTAGAAGAAAAATTCAACAATAGTCTCAGAGTTTCTAGAATATTATAACACTTAAATTAAAAAATTAAAATTTAGAATTTGTTGTAGAGTATTTATAACCATTTCTTTATATCTGAATCATTGTGCTTTAGCTTTAGAGATGTCTAAACTGAAAACTGAAAGTGTAATTAAATATTTGTTTAAAATTGTAGAATTTATATATAATAATTAGAAAATTTGTTGTCCAAAAATTCTTCAGGCAGTGAAATCAAAGCTGTGATACTAATGTTAGAGCAACTTTAATACTAGACAATTAGGTTATTTACGTTTCTATGATTCTTCTGTTATTATAAATTGTGGAAAAAGTCATATTGGTAGAATATATACAGTTTAGCTGTTAGACCATTTTAACTCATTCTTTTAGAATTTATAAATTAACAGTCTAATTATTATAAGGAGGACGGAACCTTAAAATCGGAATACAAACCTTTAAAATAAAATTACTTATCAATTTTTATACATTTAAGGATACGAAAAAACTAAGCTGTTGTGAGTTTGAAAAATCTATGTCATAAATCATCAAAGATGACCTATTTTTGGAGTTGCAGGGTCAAAATTTAGTTATTTTTAATTATCATTATATACTTTTTGAGCGAATTCTTGGAATAAATATTTTGATAATTATTATAATTATAGATTTTTCTTTAAGTTATGGAGGATTCAACCAATCTCAAGGGTAATCAAGTGTATCTAAATGAATTCGGGTCATTAAATTCAGAGTAACTTTTGTAATGATGCTTTTGTTTGTGTGGGGTTGTTGTTCATAAATTGTTTTATATTTTTGTTCTATATTCTATAAGAATCTGGCTATGCACAATCCTATGCGATGTGTTACTATGGTAAATTATATCAAACTCTGACTTTGCAAAAAATTTGATTTCTTTCTGATATAAACATACAAGATACTTTGGGTTTCTTGTATAATGCTCAAAAATAGTATATAGAAATTAATAATTATTTAAAATGAATAATGAAAAGGACTAGGATGAAGATTTGTACAGTGGTTTGGCTTTATCTAAAGAAGTTGATGAAGCTGTCTTCCCTATCCTCATTACAATATTAAAAAGAGAGAAAATTTAATACTGCCAAGAATTTTCATAAGATCTAAATTAATGGGCTATAGAAAACATAACAAAAAGGTAGAAAATTTATCATTGCATAATTAAGAATAGATGCTCAATGCTGAAAAAAAAAAGAAGGATATTAAGAGAATAGCAGATGTTCTCAACAAAGTTAAAGCTCATGAATTTAACTTAAAGAATTACTCTATAGATGAATACGAAGAAATTAAAAAAGATCTCATCATAAAAATATCATGGGATAAGAAGATTATAGAATTACTAAAATTTTTATTCACCTTACAGCCTTTGATGAGAGATATATTTAGTGTGGGTCAAATTCTCTTCATTTGCTGGTTTGTATGAAAGTTGATTTGAAGGAATAATGTTTTGAGAATATTAGAATTATAAATACTTCCTTAATAGGAGCTAACTTATTAAGATGTGACTTTAGTGGATCTGAATTTTACAATGTTATCATTAGTGGTATAAATTTGAATTAAGCCAAATTATTTAATTGTAAGTGGAAAAATATAGGTTTAAATGAGGGAATTTAGTTAAATCGTCATTGCGGAAGAATAAATTAAGTTTGCTTTTCTCCAGATGGTAAGTCAATAGCTTGTTGTAGTAATGATAATTGTATTCGTTTGTGGGATACGAAAACAGGGAAAATAAAGTCTATAAGAAAAAGAATGAAAGAGGGAAAATCAGTAGTATCTTTCTCACCTAATTAAAATATATAAGCATATAGTAGTGGAAAATTTTTACATTTATGGAATCTTAAAACAGGAAAAAAAATTTCAAAATTAGATGCTCAATCCGATATTGTTAATTCAATCTGTTTCTCTCCTAATGGTAATACATTAGCATCAGGTAGTTCAGATTACTCTATTCGTTTATGGAATGTTAGGACAAAATAATAAAAAGTCAAATTGGATGGTCATTCAAAAGAAATTCAATCAGTCACTTTCTCTCCTGATGATACTACATTAGCTTCTGGTAGTTTTGATAACTCGATCCGTTTATGGGATGTTAAGACAGGATAATAAATAGCTAGATTAGATGGTCATTCCCATTATGTTATGTCAGTCAATTTCTCTCCTGATGGTACTACATTAGCATCTGGTAGTTATGATCATTCTATCCGATTATGGGATGTTAAGACAGGATAATAAATAGCTAGATTAGATGGTCATTCCCATTATGTTATGTCAGTCAATTTCTCTTCTGATGGTACTACATTAGCATCTGGTAGTTATGATAACTCTATCCGTTTATGGGATGTTCAGACAGGATAATAAAAAGCTAGATTGGATGGTCATTCCCATTATGTTATGTCAGTCAATTTCTCTTCTGATGGTACTACATTAGCATCTGGTAGTGAAGATATGTCCATCCGTTTATGGGATGTTAAGACAGTATAATAAAAAACCAAATTAGATGGTCATTAAGATTTAGTTAGATCAATTAATTTCTCTCCTGATGGTACTACATTAGCATCAGGTAGTTCAGATTACTCCATCCGTTTATGGGATGTTAAGACAGGATAATAAAAAGCCAAATTAGATGGTCATTAAGATTTAGTTAGATCAATTAATTTCTCTCCTGATGGTACTACATTAGCATCAGGTAGTTCAGATTACTCCATCCGTTTATGGGATGTTAAGACAGGATAATAAAAAGCCAAATTAGATGGTCATTAAGATTTAGTTAGATCAATTAATTTCTCTCCTGATGGTACTACATTAGCATCAGGTAGTTCAGATTACTCCATCCGTTTATGGGATGTTAAGACAGGATAATAAAAAGCCAAATTAGATGGTCATTAAGATTTAGTTAGATCAATTAATTTCTCTCCTGATGGTACTACATTAGCATCAGGTAGTTCAGATTACTCCATCCGTTTATGGGATGTTAAGACAGGATAATAAAAAGCCAAATTAGATGGTCATTAAGATTTAGTTAGATCAATTAATTTCTCTCCTGATGGTACTACATTAGCATCAGGTAGTTCAGATTACTCCATCCGTTTATGGGATGTTAAGACAGGATAATAAAAAGCCAAATTAGATGGTCATTCT